GCCTTGGTGAATAAAACCTCACCAATTCCCTTCTGTGCCCCCATGATGAACTTATAGGCAGCCACAAGGTTGCCTCTCAACCTTCTCTTGCGGAGGCTGAAAAGGTCCAGGTTCTCTAGTCTCTCCTCGTAGGGCTTGGTCTGCAGGTCCTTAACCATACGAGTGGCCCTTCTCTGGACTCTCTCTAGGTTATCCGCATCCCTCTTGAAATGCGGCGCCCAGAATTGCACGCAGTACTCCAACTGCGGTCTGACCAGCACCCGATAGAGGGGAAGTATCACCTCCTTGGTTCTATTTGTCATGCATCTGCTGATGCACGATAAATTGCCATTGGCTTTTCTGATGACTTTGTCACACTGCCGACTCATGTTCATCTTGGAGTCCACTAGCATTCCAAGATCCCTTTCTGCTTCTGTGCCACCAAGCAGGTCATTCCCTAGGCTGTAGGTGTGCTGGACATTTTTCCTCCCTAGGTGCAGCACTTTGCATTTCTCCTTGTTGAATTGCATTCTGTTGTTTTCTGCCCATATGTCCAACCTGTCCAGGTCTGCTTGTAGTTGTTCCCTGCCCTCCAGTGTGTCCACTTCCCCCACAGTTTTGTATAAGTTCCTAATTATAGGGACTTACAGAAATACAGGACTGGAAGGGACATCAAGGGCAGGGTGACCATACATCCCAGTTTGGGTGGGGCAGTCCCGGATTTCATAAGCCAATCCCAGCTGGTTGGCAAAAAATAGAGGTCCCAGAATCACAGGGGTATGGGGTTCAGTCTGGTGGAGAGTAGTGACATGGTGCGCCAGGCTGGTGGGAGTGCAAGCACCACTGCTGCTGTGTGGAAGCAAAGCAGGTGGACTGGAGTGGTGCCCCTGGAACTGTTGCTCAGGAGAACCTGGGCTGGGCACATGCAGGTGTGGTGGCACCTGTTCCAATCCACCTGCCTTGCTCCTGCACAGCAGCAGCAGTGCCTGCCTGCCCACCTGCCTGGCACAGCATGTCACTGCTTGCCCCTGCTGGACTGTGCCCTGCACTCCTGCCAACCTGTGCTTGCCTCTGCCTGCAGCAAGACCAGTGACTTTGTGAGGCGGGGAGGGAACAGTGTCCTGCATTTTCTTAAAAACAATATGGTCACCCTAATCAAGGGTCTCCCAATCTAGTCCCCTGCTATATCTCAAGCAACTTTATCGTGTATCCCTGTCATCCCATGAATCCCATTGACTTCAGTAGGATTTTGTGACTCCCATTAAGCCACCTATCTATATCCCACTAAATACCACTGTTGGTTACCCTTTACCCCTACTGGTTACCCTTTATGGATTCTTACACAACAACTTGAAATGCACTGAATTCCCAATTCAGTCTGGGATATTACTGTTTATTTTTCTATCATTAGGACAAAGGTGAATGAAATAAATGTTGTATAGCCTTAATTACAAACGAAGAAATAACATTAAATTTCTCTCATGATTGAAAAAGCAACAATATTGTCACTTTTTCTTATCAAGGAGCCTCAGTTTCATGTAAAATGCACAGAGTTCAATAAGAACTTTCCTTGTAATAGGTTATCACTAGGGAACCTGTTTTTTCTCTGATTAAACACAAAATCCACATTTTACCATGATCAAAATGAAATAAAACTATGTATATATCTATGTATTAGTGGAATTTCACTTTAAACACAGGAAAACGTGGATTTGGGGCTACTTGTTTTTAACCTGAAAATTAGGTATATTTTTTGTCAGAGAAAACCAGGATCCCTGGTTATCACTCATATTATGAAGGTCAGTTTAACTCTAGATATACAGTTGGAATTATATTTTAAATAAGACCTATAACTTAAAAGGAATTGAATTTTGTGAACTGCAAGGTTAGGATTTTTTCCTAATTGTTCAGGCATGTTTCATCATTTTAACAGAAGAGATATTTTGACGCTTGTAAATTTTATTTTTCAAATGATTAAGAAACTGTCCTTTTTAACAAACTTACAGTTTAATTTTGCTGATCTCAGCACTAATGAGTAAGGAATATCCAAGATGTGAGAAGCTCGTACTTCCTTGGAAATGGATCTACCGTGGCTTTAACAATGTAAAAATGGAGCATTTATTACTAAAAAACCTGATTTAGGGACTACAACACGGGACTGAGAGTCAGGTCTAATTTTTTTACTTCCTATCTGAAACTGTTGCTTGGAGAGACATTTAACTGGTTTCTTTCACATTATCCAAATGTACCAACAGTATAATACTCACTAAAGTTTTATTATTCCAACAGAAAGATTGTATATTACTGCTTCAAAACATGGAAAGACAGAACATTCAAAGTTTTGTATTAAAGGATGCCATATTCAGCTGTTGGTAGAAACTGCTATTATATTGATAAAAACATAATTATGCTGATTTGAAAATACATGGAATAGGCAAGCTTTTGCTTCTCATTTTTTGTAATAATTCATTTATTCGTTTTTGTGTGGAAGTTTTGAAACAAAAAATTTTGGAAGTTTTCTTTTAATGTTTTTATCAACATATTTCATTATTTATTCTTAATTTAAAAGTAAAAAAAACAAAAACATTTTTTCCAATAAAAAGGGAAAAGAAAAGATTAAAGAGATAACTAGAAATAGTAGGCATTTAGATTTTAATTAAAAAAATAAAATAGTCATAAATTCAATGAAAATATTGACTCTTTATTCTAAGATCATTTTAAATACTTTGGATAAAGTATGATGCAAAAGTTGCACCCTTCAGACTCCTTTGATATCAAAGAACACTATTGGGAGAGAATAGTTATGCAATTTACCCAGCAAATTCAGGAAGAATGAAGCTGAGATTTTGAAAGTCAAAAACTAAAGTCTTTCCTGACTCAGAACCTCTTCTTACATACACACATTATATCATTGTTTTATTGTTCAGGATATGGCTTCTTACGCCATATAGGGCACATCAACATGTACTATTAATGTGATTGAATAAACTCTGGCTCAGTTCATGCTGAAGTTTATTAATCCTGGGCACTGCATTTCCATGTGCACCCAGGACCACAGCATGTTGAGCTGGGTTGGAGCAGCCCTGGATAGCGAGAGACTGGGGAAGGAGTCAGTCCACCAGCCTGGTGCTGATACGACCTGGTTCACCTTGCTGCAGAGGGGGTGGCTGGCCATGAGGGGGCTCCAGGATGAGGCTAGCTGTCAGGCAGCCCCCGCATTGAAGCACCCTGATGCCCCTGCCAGCCCCATCAGCATCTACACATGAGCTGCAGTGCACTAAATAATGCCTCCATAAGATAGGACTTGTGTTGACAAGTACTAACCTAGGGTGGTGTTTGTTAGTTTACTGCAGCCTAACAGGGCCACATGTGTAGATGCTGAGACTTTACTGTGGAGCTAATTAGGCAGCTCCACAGTAAACATCTCACGTAGATGCGCCCATACTCAACCTTGAAATTTTACATTTACCCATCCTATGCATCTGAAGACAGCTGTTTGAGCTGTGTGGCTTCTTGTTGAAAGCCATTAAAAAATCAGTCCTCATCTGAGTTTTCACATGCTAAGCCATACCTTCTGAATATCTGGCCCATTGTGCCTTGTATGAAATATATTTTATTTATGTTTTATTTATTTTTAATATTTGAAGACTATTTTTAAATAAGCAGTTGTCCTGGTTAAGTGAAAGATCTTCCACTGATGCTTGCCAAGGAAACACATGCTGAGTTGCATAAAAACTTATACCCTCCCTAAGTGCAGAATTGGAACATTGTGATGTAGGTGTCTAAACTTCTGAAAAATATTCAAATATTTCCTATAGGATTTGCCAGTGAAAGACCCTTACTTTAACACTTTCCAGGATATATACAAAAACAGAACATTCGTTTAGTCAAACCTGGCTCCACAGTTAATGTTGAATTCAGCATTTATATGGAAGTCAGAGAGCTCAGGGAAAAAAATGTGAACTAGTAGAGAATGGAGCATGGCATTTGAAGTGAACTTTTTATCATTTTTTATTTTAAAATATTTAGTCATCATAATGACAAAAGTGCAACTGAGCAAATCAAAGCAACAGACTGGAGAAAAGAATGTAATCACTAAAACAGACATTTTGCATCCTGAAAGAGTGATATTCATAGAATACTAATGCCATTTCACATAGCTTATTTCATAATGAACACATCTCTTATTTACAAAAATAAAATTATCATATAGTAATGCATTTTGCATGTGTTCACTTTATTAAACAAAATAATTAGTATGAAGAAGAGCAAGAAATGGTTATTTATCTTAGTCTAACTTTGGTTCCTCAACAGTGGGAAAAGAAGTAGACTGAATAGTAGGGCAATATTTAGAGTAGTGGTTTCACATTTTTGACTGAAAGCCATAACTTTTAAGAATTTAGCAGTGCCCATTTTCAAAACTAATTTCACTTGTTTTGACTAAGGAAAAATAATGGAGCAATTCTACTGAAAAAAAAAAACTCAGAAAAATCACAGAAGTTCTAAATGTTTTTGACATTATGGATCCTTATTTGAAATCTCTTGGTTATCTTGTCTATCATGTGTAAATATTTGTACAAGATTTTAAACTGCAATTTAATTGCTTCATATGGCCCTTACAGAATCTAATCATTTGGGGGCACATAATACCCTCAAATTGGGGGTATTGGAGGATAAAGCCTGAGATGGGTAAAGAAAAAAAGCCATACCTGTAAGGTGTATCCAGGTTCACATTGAAATGACAAAACATCATTCACCATATATCTATCTCCTGTTTTGATGCCATTGCTAGGAATTACTGGTTCTGGACAAGCAGCAAGGCCTACAGCTGAAAAATGTAAACATAACAGATTAAAAATATAGATAAGTAGATAATAACTGATCTCTACTCTTCTTATAAGCTTTCTTTACAGTTTGATGATGCTGGTTTCATTAACCAGTGTCACAAATTAATTAAAGTCATAGTCCATTTGTTCAATATTAGACTCAAACACATTTAAATTCCACAGTTCAATGTACCTTTAAAATTTCCAAATTATTTATACCCAAAGATGCTAACTCATGTACATTGTATCTGCATGTTTTGCCATGTCATTTTTATATTCTACAACTAGAATAATATATTTAATATATAAAAACTATATATGTTACCTTTTCTTTGGAGACCTTTTCCTGGTAGAAAAGCCCAAATCACTCAAGCAACAAAATCTACTTAGCCAGATATGGTTATAGAGACAAAGGAGGGTTTATTGCTAGGAGGTGACCAACCAACCAAACTGAAGGGACAGAAAACTTGCAACTTCTCAAACCAGGAAGGAAGCCTTTCCTCTGCTCTATATCAGAAACTAAATGGCCAATAACACTGATATTTTAATTGCCATCCCTAGTAATCTGGGCTAGCATTGCACTGAGATGAGTAAGTCATTTCAGGCATCACTGCTTTGATTTCAATTGTTTTATGCATTTAAGGTTGGTCCTCTTGGCAAAGAGGACTAAGAGAAAGTAGTTTTAACAAACTTGTACCTGTTCATTTCAATATTTTTCCCCTTACAATATCATCTGTTTTAAATACAAGTCTGCAAACATGGATAGGATGAATATTTGTGCATATAGCTGTATATGTGCTCAAAGAACACCCAAAAAATAGTAATGATTTACAGACTTTTTGGGAGACTTCTCTGAGCTCAAGTTAAGGGTTTAAAAAATGGACGCAATACTTCACAGACATATAGTTACAGAGAACTGTCTCCTACTTGAGTTTATATAACATTCTTGAATGTCAAAAATGAATTAGATTTGAAAGTATTCATTAAAAAGTCATGTGTTAAAGCAACCTACCATTGAAAGTTTAACATTTTTTATTTAATTCTATTATGGTGTCATGGGTGTGAAAACAGAACAGGATGGAAACTGCATTTTCAAAGTGTCAGAATGACTTTAGTATTTTCTGTCAGATATCTTAGTTAAAGGCCAGTTGGGTTTTAGGTTTTTTTTGGCTGTGCTGCTGTGTAGTTTTCACTTCACTGGCTTGCATAATAAATTCCACTAAATACTACAGCTCTTACTGCTTTCTTATAGAATCTAACCCCACTGGTGACAGTAAGCGTGATTTGACAGTGTATTCAATGCAAACATTACATGATATTTGGCCTTACTGTGATATGTGACATTTTGGAGTCTGTTGTTCCAGATGGTTCATCATGCAACAATATCTCAGATTATCCACTGAGACCCTAGCCTTTCTCCAAAAACATAATTGTGCTTCAGATAATGCTATTTACAGTTTTTGATACAGACAAGGTTTTAGCTTTATGCCCCAGTCATTTATTTATCTATTGTTCATCATCACAGAATATGAATACTTTAGAAAGCTTACTTACAAGACTCTCTTATTTCCTTCTATGTACTGGCAGTAAGCTTGGGTTTTTTAACTTAAATTAAATTAATGTATTTATTTGATGTACTAGGGAACGCAAATGTTAGAATAGGTTCTGCCCTTTGATCTGAAGTTTGAGAGATTTGGGACATCTTGTAATGTTTTTGGGGAAAAAAAATTATAATCATGAGTTTATTCTATTCTTTAAAAAGCACTCAGTGCTGTGGAACAAGCATATGTACAAATGCCTTGTGGGTGAAGAATGCAGACTCTCTGACTGAATAAATTGGTAATGGGTATGTTAGGTTATCTTTTTGTTTCTTTCTCTGAAAGCTGTACCTCCTGAACAAACTGTGTGGGTGCATCGACACATGCAGGGGTATGCACTTGAAGTGGCAAAAAAACAGCAGCACAAATTTGTGCAACTACTTTTTGCTGTTGTGCACACCCCTGAACATGCACTTTGGCGCAGGGCAAAATGCCCTTCTTTGGGGAAACTTTGGGGAGTGCTGGAGGAGCCCGGGCAGAACTGAAGTAAGGGAAATACTCTAGCCAGAAAGCAGAGTACCACCTGGGAGGACTGACCCTCCATGTCTCCTGGCACGTGCTCCTGCGGTCTTTGTCACAACACTTTTTTTCACAGCATTATTTGCTACTGGGATTTCCTGGTAGCAAATCTGCAGTGCAGGGTACATTTTACTATGCTGGGTATCTGGTTTGTGGTGCCTCAGAGGTTTGTGTGCCTGTAGATCAGGATCTGGCTTGTGTGCACTTATAGAATGATGTGGGTTGTGTTCAGCCACAGTGTTTCAAGCATCTATGTATTTAAATCCTGCCTGGTAAAGGGACGGTAGGGTGAGGTAACATCTCCAAAGATCCAGCTGAAGAGATGGAATAGGATCATTACCTATGTCAGAGCCATGAAGTGCTGGAAGCAAAAATTTATTATTTTTGAATGCTGATGGAACAACATTTTAAGAGAAAGCACGAAAAATAGTGGGTTCCACTGGCTGTCTTCAGGAAACTGCCAAATCATGCTAAAGCTATGGTAACCAAACTTTTAGCCTCTCAGCCTGGATGAGTCATGTGGGGTTGGTTAAGGGTTGGATCCCATCCACAGTAACTATCTTACACATGGGACTGGGACACAATCGGCATGAAGGCCTCTGTATGAACTCACAGGATGATACTGAACTAAGCATACTGCACCTATCAAAGTCTACACACTCCAATTTTCTTCTACCATACATATGAAAATCAGATATGGAGCTCACCCCAATCTCACCTTCCTAGACTACCTTATATAAGCAGCATGGCTCTGCCAAATCACATTTAAATGTGTTTATTAAAGGCGTTCTCTGAAGAGTGAAGAAGATAGCAAATGGAATGAAGGCCATATTCACTGGTTGTGTGATGATTTATGATGGAAGTATGGGAAAGTGCAATGCCATCTTGATGGAATAATTTGGGTTAAATATTATTAATGATAACAATGAAACAACAACTGTAGGGAA